CCGGCCGTGCCGGTGGGCGGCTGCTGGCAGCGCTGCCTGCCCAGCCGCGGCCGTGCCCCGGCAGCCGCAGCAGTGCGGGACCGCCGGCTCCGCGCGCACGCCAAGTTCTGCGGCTCCCGGTGTTCAAAAACTGCGGGAGAAGAACAGTATGCACCGGCCGCCGGGAGTGACATTTCATTCAGAAGGGTGATTTGTTTTTCTTTGAGAGTTACTGCAGGAAATATTTTTCTTTTTAAAGAGCTGAAGTATCTTAATGAGGTAACTTGAAAAATGGAACTGATCATGAGCTAGAAAACACATCCTCCTTTTTTTCTTTTTTTCTTTATTTTTTTTTTTTTTTGATAGTTTACCTGATGTCTCGGGGGTGATTGGACTGACAACAGAACTCTGCTGAGATCCCTTCTCCTCCTCTGATGTGTTCCTGCCACTGCTGAGGATTACATGCGTGGCATAAAGCAGTACAGAGCTGACACTGCTTTTCCTCCACCCAGTCTTCATTACGTGATATCTTTTCTTTAAGAGCTAAGGTAATTAAATATCAACAAAATCTACCAGGCTACAAAGGAACATTGCTTTTCCACTGCCATAAATTTCCATTAGACAGAAAGATTTGTGCTATATACTGTTTGAAAACCTTCTGCTATCTCCAAGTTTAACCTTCTTGCACAGATCTAGAACCATCAAAGCTACTGAAATATCAAATAATAAATTTCACCAAAATAAAAGGCCTCTAATGGAAAGTCAGCTGATCAGAAAGCCCTAAAGCGACATTATTCATTATTAGTGTAAAATATGGGCAAATACAAAAACATACACTGCTTCACAAGCTAATCCCAAGACTGGAGAAGAGAATTAACGTTTGGACCAAATTAGACATTCTGGATTATTATACTAAAGAAAAATAGATCCAAAATTATTGCTTCTCCAAATAGGCTGGCATTTCTTTCAATACATTTCATTTCCACATGCTCTGTAGCCATATAGAATCATGAAAACATTTCCCAACATGAAAAATTAATCAGATCACAAATATAAAGGACATTTAAACTAACCTTCTGTACCAGAAAGCGATCAGGCAGTGCTTCAGACTGACAGAAGTTATGCAAATTGGTTCCTTCTACTAGCACAATACAGCTTGAGGAAGAAAAATCCATTAGAAACAATTCAAATTCCCAAGCTGACTGCAAAATTAGAATTTGTGGCTCACTGTTCCCTTTAACAGGATTTACAGAAGGAAAAAGCCATCCCCCTCAACTCTCCAGAACAGAAGGATTTTGGTCAGTGTGGTGTTCCAGAAGTCTCCTCATCTTGAAAAAGAAAATACCCCCAAACCACAATCCTTCAGGATTTACCCGGTGTGTCTTTACTGGAACCAGCTGGTGTAAAACTGGGGTGCTGCCCTGACTGACATTGTTTCACCCAAATGCACACACAGCCAGAAGGGACAAGCATTTGGATGCTTTTTCTGGGCCTTTTATCTCTGTGTCTGTCAATGACTACCTGTTACTGGAACGCGTCATGAGCACGATTCGGATGGTTCCTGAGAGCATTAAATGAGAACATTTACTGAGCCGGCACAGCAGCCACAGCCCGGCGCGGCCGCGGCTCGGGGGGTGTTCCCGAACCCGGGCCGCTACTACCGGGCAGTGCCTCGCGTGCTTTGGCTACTCCGCTGGGCGCGACGCCGGCTCCGGGTCCTGTGGCCGCTGCCCTCAGGTCCGGACCGGGACCGGGACCCGGACCCGAACCCGGCCGCTGCGCCCCGAGCCCGAGCCCGGCGGCAGCGGGAGCGCCGGGCCCGCCCCGCCGCCCGTCGTCCCCGCGCCGCCCCTCGCTCCGGTGCCGGTGCTGAGTCACGGCCAGCTCGGGGCTGCCCGGGGCCGTAGGTGTCGCGGAGAGCCCGCCGGCCACCGCCTGAGCAGCGCCATGGGGACGGAGGGCGCCCGTGCCCTGCTGGAGCGCGCCGGCACGCTCACCCTGCAGACCGGCAACCTGCTCAACTGGGGCTGCCTCCGCAAGAAGTGCCCGGCCACCCCCGGCGAGGAGGTGAGGGGCGGGCCGGGCTTCCCTTCGCGGCGCCTCGGCGGAGGCCCGCGCTGGGGCGAGGGCCCGGGCCGGGCCGCGGGCGGCTGAGCGAGCGCCGGGCGCCGCTCCCCGGGCGGTGCGGGCGGCGGCCGCAGCGGGACCCGTTCGGCGCGGCACGGCGGGGCACGGTGCCCGCACGGCGAGGAGGGGCTTTGGCTCCCCAGCCATCCCTTGCCGCTGCCCTCGGGAGGCGCGAGATGGGAATGGCAAAACAGAGTTTCGCTTGTTATTTTCGTCCGTTCGTTGTATTCTGCCCTGTTGGGAGGTCGGGGCTCCCGTGTCCCCGGAAGCACTTTGCCCTGAGAAGGAGCGAGCCCAGCCTTCGGATCCCGGGAGTGAAGGATTAAAACACAAATTTGACTGCTGTCTGTAATGGCAAAGGGAATCCCTTACACATCTCTAGTAAGATAAAAATATGCATAGATGTGAGCTTGCATTACAGATGATGAAAATTCTCTTTCCTAGCCTGAAGTTAGTATACTTTCTTCATAGAGACAGATCTTGGGAAAAGTAGCAGTTGTCTTCTTTGAAGCAGAGAGCTGTCATTCTTTGTTAAGAAGTTGAAAAGAGCTTTTTAATTGACACCTTAAAAGTATTGCCTTTAGCGGTGTGTGTCAATACTTAGAATAGTTTTCATAAAATGTCTGGAGAGCCTGTGGCCATGTACTTCAGAACCACCATATTTGCTGTTTTGTCGGGACACAGTAATCTCAGAAAAACTATGGGTTTGGCTGATTATTGCTATGTAGTGACACTAGTGATAACCTAGAAGTTGGTTGGTTGCATATTAATCATGCACAAGTGGAAGAAAGGTGGCAGAGAGGATGATGTAACAAGAAGGAAGAATTCATCATACTCTTGTTTAGCTTTCATGTGGTCATAACCTGACCACATAACGTTTTATTTGGCCTGGTTGCTTATTAAACATTCTGTGATCTGTGTGCAATAAGGCTGGATTCTGTAACAAAGACATAGCTGTGTCCGCATGGGCACCCTTGTGTGGGCACGTTCTGGAGGGCTGTTAAGAGTGGCCAATGGGCATAACTAATAGTTAAGGTACTAAAATCCACTTGTTTACAGAGGAATCCACTGGCTTTCCAGAGTTGATGTACTTCCAAAGGCAAATAAATGGGATCATTTGCAATCAGCTTTTAACTCCTCTCTTTGGTGTAGTCAGTTCTCAGTGGCAGAATGTAAGCTAAAATTCTGGGAATTGTGAATGCCAGCGTTAGGAGATGCAGCTGTGTGTGGAAAAGCGGATCAAAGCAGTGGAATACACTGCTCTTCCCACATGGCCCGAGGGCAGGGGAGTGGCGTGCTTTGGAGTCAGAGGCGGGTGCAGAGGAGCCGCAATACAATTATGTCCTGTGACAGTCGCAAAGCAGCAGCATACAAACATTTAGTACTGTCTCACTTGCCCTCAGAAAGGAAAAGATAAAAATATAAATTGTATCAAAATAGGATTAAGAGTTATTTTATTAAAGGGTTATTGCACTTAGCTGTTTACTGGGGTGGTCAATTCTTGCCTTTTCGTTCCAGGGGTTTTTATACTGTTTTAAATGATGGAGGGAATGTATGGTATTTGCGTTCACAAAGTATTGTTCCTGTGTTATCTGATATCAGGCAGGGATGTTGACTTCTAGTTTGTGCATGGTATTAGAGCTCTCTGAGTTAGGTGTCATAGGAAACAGCTGCTTACTGGTACACAAAGTAGGTATGCACACAGTTGTAAAATACACTGTGGAAAGTGAAGCAAAGCAGCAGCTGGTGGAAGTGCTCCTACCTGTGGCAGGTGGCAGTCAGACAGTACCTGTACTTAACTCCTGGGATGGATCAGAGGGAAGCCACAGCACTGCTACAGCTGCACCACTGGTACTGTATAAAATTAGTTAGCTGATTTAATAGTTATGTCTTACTGTGTTCAAGAAAATCCATGATCAGACTCTTAGTCGAGTTTATTTTGCATCTGTGGATGAAGGAAAAATACAATGGTTTTGCTTAGGTGGGCAGTAAATGGGTAGGGATGTATGCATCTTAAAAAAAGAGAAGTAATTAATACAATGAGTATTTAGTGGTTGATGGTAAAGTCTCAGTTCTACGGTGTCATGGCACTTAAGCTCTTTTCTGACTACTTTGTAACTTAGGAATTCTGCACAAAAAAACCCACAAACCCAAAAAACCCAAACCCCACCCCATGTCTTAGTTCTTGCTTGCTTAGCATTGTACTTTCCTTTTAAGATGGCATTGGTCTGAGAATTAACCAAAGTACAGTACGTATATTATTGCTAAAACTCTGTGGAAGAGGAGAGAAAAATATGTAAGTAAACTAGTTTGAGCAAGTTTCAGCTAGAAGCTATGAAGGAAGAATCTTCTGTGGGGTTATGTCATTAGTGCAGTCTGTCCTACACATCTTTGTACTGTTGTGTTTGTGTGTGGCTGGAGCATACCCACGCTTCGCAAGTGTGGGGTAGGATCTGCAGGTTCCCCCTACAGTGAAGAAGGACTTAAAAGCATTAGTGGTTTTGCTTAGGTGGGCAGTAAATGGGTAGGGATGTGTGCATCTTAAAAAAAGGGAAGTAATTAATACAATGAGTATTTAGTGGTTGATGGTAAAGTCTCAGTTCTACGGTGTCATGGCACTTAAGCTCTTTTCTGACTACTTTGTAACTTAGGAATTCTGCACAAAAAAACCCACAAACCCAAAAAACCCAAACCCCACCCCATGTCTTAGTTCTTGCTTGCTTAGCATTGTACTTTCCTTTTAAGATGGCATTGGTCTGAGAATTAACCAAAGTACAGTACGTATATTATTGCTAAAACTCTGTGGAA